AGCAACTTCTTAAGTTTTAGCCTTAAGGACCGGATCCTACCATTCATGCATTGATCCATGGATCCAAATGATAAATTACGAGTTAGTACCTATACTTTTTATATTTTACATTTTGGTACGTACAATTTATTTTTAAACCAAAAATGCCATTGGAAAATAACATTTTGGTACCTACACTTTTTTCTTGTGATATTTTAGTACCTAAACTTTTTAAAATTAACATTTGGTAAAGCTTGGATGTCATTTAGATCTATGGATCAGACCACTAATCCATATGATACAATCCATGAATTCGTGAATCCATTTGATCCAATCCACTCAATCCATGGATCTATCAATCCATGAATTCAATCCATTTATCATTTGGGATTAAGGATAGTATAGAAATAGGCGATGCCAATGTCCCTAACTGTTGGAGATCATATCTTCTTAATCAGATAAGCAACATGAACGATATATACTCACATCTAAGATGCAGTCCTAGCTTTATTGGCATTGTAAGATCCTAGTTGTATTCAAGATTAGTTGATAATTCACCTTTTACATACTAGAGGTAGCAATTTGAATCCAATTCATTAATTAAAATATCTAATTAATTCAATCCATTTAATTCTAATTCAATTTGGTCTACATGGGTTGTTGGAAAAATAAAATTTAATACTTATTTAAAGTTTATCATTTGATACCTAAAACTCAATTTTTACGAAAAATATTCTTCAAAATTTATATATTGGTACCTAATTTTTTTAAAATGACATTTGTATATCCTAAACTTTTTAAAATTTTCGTAACGATCCATATTTTAGATGTCACTTGGATCGATGAATCCAAACTACAAGTTCCTGAATCATTTTTATGAATTCACCAATCCAATCACCAATCTAGAGATTCAATTCATTATCACTTCTATTATGTACTATTTTTTTTCAAATTTTCAACCCAAAAAATCCAGTGTTCTGTAAAGAAGAAATCAATCATACGGGTTAATTCCCAAAATATTGTTTTTTATTTACCACGAATATAGTGGGTTTAAAACTATTGGCACAAATATTTTGTTTAGAGGACAATAACAGCGAGTCCGTTTGAGAAAATATGCCTAATTCAAAGCGCAACCGCATGAGACTCAGGTGGATTCGCTTTTTAGAGCTTTTTCAATTTGGAATAAGCGTACCCGCCCGAGTCTCATGCGGTTGTGCTTTGTTCTTTTCATTTTGTCGTTGCGTGTAAAGAGAGATTCTGAAAATTGGCGGAACAGCGCGTCGGTCTAACGCAGATTCGCCGCCTTGTCCACCCACTCCAATACCTTATCTGAGTCCGTGAAGCATTTGGTACGTGCCCAACCAAATTTGAGTGTTCTAACTGTGCAGGCTGAGTTGAAAGATAAGTTTAATATGCAAGTTACTTACAAGAAGGCTTGATACGTATGCGAAACAAAGAGCATTAGAGAAGTTGCATAGAAATTGGGAAGAATCCTACAATTATTTGCAAACGTTCTTGCATGTGGTGAAGAGAAAATGCCAATATAAGTGATTGATTAGGTAAGAATTCCTTCATCGCAACCAGGTCATTTGATATTTCAGCAAGTATTCTGGGATGGACCTTGTACAGATGGATTCAAAAATTGTCCAGCAGCCATGGTTGCTGACATGACATTTCTTACTGGAAAGTATAAAGCAGTGCTACTCATGGCAAGCTCATTTGATGGTCGGAAGAAGATTTTTCCAATTGCATTTGCCATAGTGGAGAGCGAGAATACTGAAAGTTGGCCATGGTTCATAAGACACCTTCAAGATTTGACCGATCGAAATGATGTATGCATCATCTCAGATAGACATGCGGGACTCTATGAAGCCATGAGTAACATCGGAAGGGGTTGAGAGTGGAGGTGGTGCATGCGACACTATGCAAGCAACTTATAAAGGAAGTTCGATCGTCAAGTTGAGCAATTTAAGAAGATGGTTGCTGATAGAAATGTTTCATGCGATAACTGGGTGGACCAAAATCAACTCCGTTGGAGCTTAGCACGTGATAACCTTAATGGTGAGCATCGATGTTCTATCGTGACATCCAACATGGCAGAGAGCATCAATAGTGTTTTCAAAGTTATTCGTTCACTTCCTATAGCTTCTCTTGCGGAACATACATATTGGCGATTATTGGAGAAATTTGATAAGATGAGGTTGGAGACAGAAGCACAAATCACAAATGGTCATTCATAGTACACCAAGACATGCGAAGAACTGATGAAGCCGTGGGAACAAAAGGCAGTTGGACATTTTGTGACTGGGTTGATCGACGTCAAGGCATCTATGTAGTTCAGACTCCTCCCAACAATTTCAACATGATGGGTTCAAACACATTCATAGTGCACTTCGACGACAACAATGGCCCTACTCTCCATCCTAATGTGCACATGATTAGGAAGTCGGAGAGGCCGTTGTACAGGTACCATCACATCAGGATGTCGCGATCATCCAATCCTAAATTAGCAATCCCTGTTACCATCATATCAGCCAACTCTATCTTCTCGTCGGTGGACAGTTGTCTCTCCCGTAACCTCAGCGCAGCGAACTCTAAGGTGTCGTACTGAAAATTAAATTTAAAATATCAAAGATTTAACACAACTACGAATTTCAAAACAAATAAAACAAAAATATGAAATAATCAATAACTAACCGCTGCGTTCACCGCAACACCTTTCCGTGTTCCTGAACGTCTGGTAACATCTCGATACCACTGCAAATGCTCCGAGTGGTAGGCTAAAGTCTCATCACTATATGGCATAGTCACTATGAACTCATGTCGATGGCTCCACAAATGAAGCGACTCTCTGAAGGCGTGTAGCAACCGCTGCCCACTCGATGGCCCATGAGCTGTCTGGCGAAGGAAAAACCTAACTTCGGCCTGACTATGTTGCTGATGAGGCTCATCTAGCAGCATGCCAAACTGTCGAAGCATGCGATCTGGATGGTGCCACATCACCGCTAAAAACAGATCAGTGGAACTATTGCTCGAAACGTATCTGATTGGATCAAAGTACCTCTGAGGTGCTCGACTCACTCAAAGTAAGGACACCACACACACAAAAAAGTGGGCACATGATAACTCATGAATCTAAAACAAACCAATGAAAACTATTCTATAATGAAATGTTATATACTAACCACGATGGTCGACAACTCGTCAAAGAACAACTTGTAGTGGTAGAACTGGTCACTATGCTGACGGGTCGTACCTCGAATCTGGTAAACTCGAACACCAGCCTATAGTGCAAAAAACTTATATTAATTCAATTTCATGTGTAATTCTAATTTCAGTTCACCTAGTAAAATCTATCTAATCTAAACTTATACTAATTTCAAAAAAATTCATACACAATTTTAATTTTAGTTCAACTAATAAAAATCTAAACATCCAATCGAACTAGCTAATCCATTAGACCACATAGCTATTATGCGATAGAATTTACAGAACACGTAATACTTATAAAATTTGTACAAAATAAACTTCACGTCCTAGGGGTCGGGGCCCACCCTAAGTTGAACGTAGATCCGTCCCCGTCCACGACCCCTTCTTCCTCCGGCTCCAGCTTCCTCTTTGCCGGAGTCAGACATCCTTCCGTTTTAGATATGGTCTGGAGCGGTTCGGCAAGAGAGAAGAGAGTATCCGCGTGAGAAGACAGCGGTTCCGCGCAAGAAAGAGCGATTCCACACGAGAGATGAGGAATTTCGCTTGAGAGTGAGGTTAAGAGGAGGATTTTTGAGGCGGACCCGCGTGAGCCAGTGGAAGCAGGTTTTGGATCTCTGTTGGAAGCGGGATGAAGAAGACGAACGAAAAGATAGGACAAGCCAACGAACATATAGGATAAGCTAGCGAATCCGCTTAAGACTCGCACGTTTCCGCCTGCTGTGACGCATTCGCTTGAGACTGGGGCGGGTCCACTTGTGGTGAGGCTATTTTCACAGCTCATGAGGATTCGCCTTCTCCTACCTTTCAAAACTCAATATTTGTATCAATAATTTTAAAACCACTATATTCATTGTAAATAATAATAAAAGCAATATTTTGAAAATTAACCCTCAATTATACATTGGTTGCTCGCCTCCTAACTGCCCTAATAGACTTTTGAGAAATTTCTTAGCTACCATAACAAATGAACTATGTGGAAAGGATTTGATTTCATACCTTTGTTTCAAGCACGAGCTAGAATCAATTTTTTATTATTATAATTTCAGTGATTATTTGTAAGGCTTTCCCCACCCCGTTTTTATAATAATAAAAACTTATACACAGGAGAATTTCCCAGAAATTAGCCCCAAAGTCCGTTTGTACAGAGAAAAAAAATCCGACTGTCTTCACACTGCACAGTCGCCCTCTTCAACATTCCTCGTAGAAAACAACAACTAGCCGGAGAAATCAGAAATATTCGAGCATGAAATTGGAATAAATGAAAAATACAAGGACAGGATAACCAAAAATAAAAGAAAAAGAAGCAATCTAACAATCTTCACCTCTCCGCCGTTCGATCGATCTGTATAAAAATTCCAACGGCCCAGAACTCGGGTCCACAATTACCTGGCAATACATCACCCTCACACCAGCTCTCCTCTCTTCTCCTTCCTCCTCAGTCCTCCCCTACGCCACGCCACGCCAGTCTTCCTCTTTCTCTCTCTCTCACGCCGCCACTGTGAGGAAGTAGCAGTCGCTGAAATTAATAAAAATCCCGAAATTTCTTTTTTGTCAAAACAGAGGAGCCCTTTTCATTATTAATCATTTCTCTCCCTGCAAAGCTATAGCTCGCAGCGCAGCTCGCGCTGAGATTCCGTCTCCATCATCCACAGCTCATTCCCCACCAGAGGAGAGAGAGATAGGGAGAGAGAGAGGCTTCTTTTTCTCTTCTCCTCGCTCGGCGGCAGTCAAACAAGTAGTTGTTTCGCTCCATTTTCCGATGACTGGAGGGAGCTTCAATTTCTGATTGGGATTTCGGTTATGTGATATATATGGCGGAGGAGCAGGAGGAGACCGGCGGCAGTGGTGTCGCCTCCCGGACATTCCGCGCTCTGGTGGAGAGCGCGGACAGGAAGTTCGCGCGGGTGCGGGACCTCCCGGCGTACGGGCGGGGTCACGCCCACTATTTTCAGAAGGTATTCAAGGCGTATATGAGGCTGTGGAAGTACCAGCAGGAGAACCGGTCCGACCTGGTCGCCGCTGGTCTGAACCGGTGGGAAATCGGCGAGATCGCTAGCCGGATCGGCCAGCTCTACTTCAACCAGTACATGAGGACCAGCGAGGCCAGGTTCTTGGTCGAGGCCTATGTCTTCTACGAGGCGATTCTGCGCCGGAGGTACTTCGACGGGGCCAACGCCAAGGATCTCGGGGTGAGATTCAAGGAGCTCAGGTTTTATGCACGGTTTCTGCTGGTTTCTTTGATCTTGAACCGTCATGAGATGGTTCAATTGCTGGTTGAGAGGTTCAGAGCCGTCGTCGATGATAGCAAGTCCAAGTTTCGGGTATGAATTGAATATGCTTTCTTGTTTGGTTTTGCTCCATTGTTTTCTTTTGGCGTCTCAATTGTTTAAGAAACGCGTCTCTCCTTTATGTCTCTTTCATTTCTTCTGTGGTTGTGTTATCATTGTGTTGTAGTTCTCCTAATTTCCATGTCCTTTTCCCCTCTTCCTTTCCCCCTTCCCTGGTTCTCAGTAAATTTTGGTCAACGTCGGTTCAGTAGCTATTGATAAGAAATTGGTTCTTCCTGAGTTTATGTATGGAGCCATTGTATTGTGTGCAAAAACTGTTCTGTTTCTGGATTTGAGCTCATGCTTAACATAGATCGATGCTGTAGACTTGTCTAGTTTACTTTTTGTTGAAAAGTCTGAACATTTCTAACAGCCTGATAGCTGGTAACTGAATGTGTCTGCAGCCATATTAACCTTTCACCTTCTTCTCCCAATTTGTTGTGCTGATTGTTAACTGTTCTGCATTTTACCAATTATATAGGGGTTCCATAGTGCTCTAAGATCTTATAGTCTGGCTCGGTTACATGGCTTTAAACTCAAGTAATAATTACCAGATTATACACTGTACAGTGTGCTGCCTGAGAATCAGAGTGTCGGGTATAGGATGTATTGGGAAACCAGTTGAGAATTTGGATTTCAGTTCAAGCTGTTGGTTAGGAGACGTGGGAAAATTTTAGCTACATGAAACACTCTTTCTGTGTATTTTTCTCTCTCCCCTTTGGTTGGTTAGTGCAATTGAAAAGAATCCATTTTCTTTAATTTTGATTGACTGATTTATGTGGCTTAAGTTCAGTAATTTCTTTGTAGTTCTTGGGTGTCAAAGTATTCTTTCTGCATCTGGCTTCTTGATTTCTGGATGAATGGTCGGAATAGACACAATATAAATACAATAAGTTAAAGGGTATTTCTTTCCTGATGGATTTGGAAGTAAAGGTCTCATATGTTGTACTGAATTTGAAATACCTCAGCCTTCCATTGGCTTTGAGATTCTTTGTTCTATCAAACTGTCTTTTATCAAGGGAGTAAATTGGATGGTAAACATTGCAATGGAGTTTTTTTCTGGAAAGCAAATATAGATAAAATCAGACACGTGAGAAGTTTGAAGTGAGTAGTAAACGAGAAAGGATACATGAAGAATTACAGAGGGGGAAAGCTTAGATCTTCTAACTTAGTGAGAGAAATTTATATCTCCAATAGGAGGAATGATTCCTAATGCTTTCTAATTCCTGAAATGGGTAAAACAAATTCTTCATCAACATTCAAACCAAATATGAATATGTCCCTTTGGGGACATCTGATAAAATTGGAACCAAATCTCAATCTTAATTGTGGTGTCGTGTGTTTGGAAGTCCCAGATTGTTGGCCATTGAAGCAAATACCTGCCGGACCAATGCATTTATTTTTACTGTGTAACAATTGTTTGGTGGATTCACAACCAAGATCATACCTATTTTATTCCATAGCAGGAGGCAAGTTTTAAAGAGTGGAAGCTTGTAGTACAAGAAATTGTCCGCTTTATGGAAATTGAGACTGCTTATAAGAGTTCAAGGCCTGTACGTTACTGTGCTCTGTTTGATTCACATCCAGCTTCTCGGCCTTATGTGGCTCGTTTCCATGCAAAGAAGGTTCTGAAGTTCAAAAATGCAATCCTAATGAGCTACCATCGGAATGAGGTGCATAGCTCCCAATGTTAGTTGCACTAATCATCCACTTCAGATTTTTGGAGTGTGATGGCCAGGACTTTCCCTCTGAAGATTTCATTGCTACATATAACATTTTCTTCTTGCAGGTCAAATTTTCTGAGCTTACTCTGGACACACACAGGATGCTGCAATTTTTGGAATGGGAACCAAGCGGATCTTTCTATCAAAAACAAACTGTTGAATCGGTCTATCCAAACTTTCCTGTTGCGCCACAAGAAAATGGCTCTGCAGTGGATCATTCTGAAGCTTCTGGGCTGATAGATATAAACCTGGCCGCTGATTTGATTGATCCGACTCTGCCACCAAACCCTAGGAAAGCTGTCCTTTATCGTCCTTCTGTTACACAACTGTTAGCGGTAAGCTCCAATGCTGTGAAATATCCACCGTGATCACCTGTTTATGCCTGTGGTAAAGCATATATGTTTATTCTTTGGGGTTGATCTTGCTGCTTCTCCGTCTCTTGAAGAATTTTTTATTCCTGGTACTGATTTATCATGGTTCCTTGTACTAATGCAGCTCTGACTGTATGATTGATGCATTTTTTGTCGCTAGCTATCTGGATTCTATTTCATCAAAATTTAGTGAACTTGGATTTCTGCACTAATATAACTTTCACATATCTAGCTCTTGGCAAATCACTCATATAATATATAATCTTTTACTTGGAACAGGGGTCTATCCCTCGATTGATCTTTCGTAGTTTTTTTTAAGTGGCTAAGTGGAAATATCGTTCTCGAGCAGGTGATGGCAACAATCTGTGAGGAGCTGCCTCCTGAAAGCGTTATGCTCATTTATCTTTCAGCTTCAGGTTAATTATGCCTCTTTAGTTCAAAGTTTCTGCAATGGGTTGTCTTGCTGCTAGGTTAAATATAATCTATTAAAATCAATCATACAGGGAAGAGTAGTCAAGGTACTGTTTCGCGCATGGATGGCTCTGACGGATCAAGGAAATCCTCAAAAGGAAAAGCTGTATCTGGCACTCTTAGTGAACAAAATAACTTGAGAGCTGGAAATTTAAGCAATGGAAAGGCAGAGGCCAGTGACTACTATAGTGATTACCTTTGGTTGGGTCCTAGGAGCAATGGTGGTATGCTTTTCTCCCTTTACATTGTTTTCTTGTATTTTGGGATGATGATGAAGCTTTGTCCTCTTGTTGCTCATTTCTAAGTCCGTTTTTTCCTGGATTTTCAGGAACTAATATCCTTCACCCGGGTGATATAATTCCTTTCACTAGAAAACCTCTTTTTCTGATCATTGATAGTGACAACAGCCATGCATTCAAGGCAGGTTTGTTATAACTCGTCAGACAATTTTCGCTATTTGCACCGGCTATATAATGATCAGTGGCTATCCCGCTTAGTCCAGCTATTTCCTTTTGATTGTTGCCCTGAATATTAACTATCTGGGCAGTTGGACTAGCTCAACCTGACATGTGATTCATTCAGCTGAAGTAGCTTACACATCCAATTCTGAACTTGCAGGTGTTACATGGTGCAGAAAGGGGAGAACCCGTTGCCTTACTGCTTTCACCCTTGAGGCCGTCATTTAAGAATGCATCCTTTGTCAACAGTGCAATTCACAGTGGAAGTCAGTTTACCTTTTTCTTGACTTCCCCACTGCAAGCATTCTGCCAAATGGTTGACCTCAAAACTTCTGACGTCGATACAGTAAGTTTAGTAATGTGGTGTTCTGCATGTTTTCCAACTTTCACTAGTATTTCTGAACTGTGAGATTGTCTTCATTTAGGATGATTACAGCAATGCCGAGGAAACACTTGCCACTGCATTTTCTCAGTGGGAGGTGATTCTTTGTACTTCAAGGAACCTCGATCTTGTCTGGGCACAAGTCATGCTTGATCCATTTTTGCGCCGCCTTATCCTACGGTATATTCCTATCTTATATAGGGATGTCCAACGATTTGGTCAACACCAAACTAATCTCATCAAATTGACATTTTAACTGAATATATATCAATTCCATAGATCCTCTTAACAGAAAAAAGCAAGCCAAATCGAAATCGGATTTTGAATCAAACTGAATAAACTTTTGATCCCACTCTTTTGTGCATGTTTCTCTTTGCTCTTGATTCGGAGCTTGCTGATTTGCTCCGGTACTGGACCAGACCTTGCAACCCTCCTGGTCTTAATATACGGGTCAGATGACCCAAATCAGTGGATGAGTTTACCCAATTGGGACTAACCATTGTCTTCTATTCGTATGCCTCTCCAGATTCATATTCTGCCGATCTGTGCTCTTGTTCTTCAGCCCTCCAGGCCACATCGAAGAATGTACTCCTGTCTGTGTACCACAACTTCCAGTTTCTGTTTCTGCGGGGTCTGAAGTAGTGAGGTCTGCAGTCCACCAACTAGCAAACCAGTTTAATGTTGCCGGCAGTTTCCACTTCAATAACACCTGTTAGTAGGGAAAACGAGTTCGATGTGTTCAGCGTTAGAAGATGAGGATACATAAGCTGCGATTAAAGTAGAAGCTTTTGACATGGGTTTGCTTCTGTAAAGCATGCTCGCCAGGTTGGTTGGCTTTTCTATATATCAAAAGAGACTGGCATAGCATACTGCCTGCTATTGTTTGTGACGGAACTTGGGCGTGATAGATTGCCTAAAATACAGGAGGTTTATGTATATCCCAAGATATGATAGCTGATTGTAATTGCTTAGGGTATAAATTCACTTGCTTCTCTTTCTTTTTTTTCTTTCATTGTTAGGGTAGTTCTAAATTCTTTCTATGGCTTCAGAGCGGGAACTCGTAGCAAATGTGGATGTATTTTGTTGTTTGTCTTTCTTTGTTTTATGATGAACATCGGTTTCATGTGTTACTGAGAAGATCTGAAGGGTATAAATGAATACTGGAGTTTTGTGGAGAACTCGAGAATAGTGTACCCTTCTAAGTTTCTAGCACTGAGTCAAGTGTTTTGGCTGTGTCTATGTTTCTTCACAGGTTCAGGTTCAGGTTCATCCGTTCGAACCTTCCCATTTGTCATGCATAATTTTAATCACTAATAAATGCTATGAAACTAATGGAAATATAAACTGTTAAGAACCAGTTGATCCCAATAACTCGAGTTGTTGGGAGAAGGTTTTGCTGGATCTTATACCACACTCTAGCATAAACAACTACAAGAGAAGATTAGAGAGAAAAAGACACAAGAGAAGAGAGGGGAAGAGTTCTTCTTATTCATTCTTCACTTTTGATACAATGGTGTGCTATATTTATAGGCACACTTTGGTAACCACTACATCCTTATATCAATGCATATGAATGAGAGATAATAATGTAGAAATAGGGGTTACATGTAACTCCCAAGTGAGCATCTAATGTGGTAGGTCATTGGTCATCCATATATCAATATTTACATAATACCCCCCCCCCCTTTGATGACCACTAGATTGCATTACGCTATACCATACTGCCTCATTAAAAACCTTACCAGGAAAACCCATTGGGGAAAAAACCATGGTTAAGGGAAAAAGAGTGCAGTGCGTATATGCTCCCCCTCATGACCACATCACTTCAGATTATTGAGTCGTTGAACTCAAATTTCACGAACAACTTTTAGAAAGATTGTTGTCGGGAGTGAGTTAGTGAACAATCTTCTAGATTGTCAATTTGATGCATGATCTTTAGATTTTCTTCATACATGATCGTCAGGATCATTTCATATGAAAATAGTTCACAACCACAAGTACTTGAGATATGGTGGATCACAAAGTGTAATGAAACACATTCGGGACTTGCCCATTATAGCTTGTTTTGTTTCTTTATGAAACATTTATATCACCATATGTAAGAGATAGCTCGTCTCCGATCAACAATTATAAGGATCAAATGATATATAGGATTTGGATATATAGTTTACCAAATCTCTTTTTGATAATACTATAATAGAACAATCGCATATATTGTTCCTAGAGATAACAAAGTATTTTCCAACGTTCTAATGAGGAAAACATTGTATCTTGCCAATATTATCAACACCAAGATGATAGTTTATATGGTGCTTGGCTAGCAAGGTGCATTAGTGCTCTAAGGCATCAACATATGGTACTTCAGGACCTAATGTTTCACTTCTTTCTTGATTTCTAAATGGATCTTTGGTCACTTCTAGTGATCTTAGGATCCTAATGTTATTTGATGAACACAATTCGTTCATGCAAAATTACTTTCCCACTTTTTCAACATTACCTTCCTTGCCCATAAAAAAGATCTTAAATCCTTCAATTTAACTTATGTCTCGAAGCAATCAACTGCTTTAGGAAGCTCTTCAGGAGATCCAATAATAGTCATATCATTAACATAATATGAGATCATAAAAAAAACTTAACTAACACAAATTGATGCAAGCAATTCTTTCATATAACGAAAGATAATAACAAAACTCACATCATAGAAACATATGAACTAGACAAAACACACTCATAAAACACAACTCATACTTTAAAGTAAATCACAACTCATAAATCAAGAAATTTAAAATCCTTGAAGCACATACAGACAACACAACTATATATGCACAATGCAAATACTCGTATGCACTCTATCTGAATTTAACCTTTTAAGGCCCATTCACCCTACTGTTGTAGGTGTTCACTTAGACGAGTATTTCACATTCGTCTATGTTGTCTCAACCCACACAAGGGATTTTCTTAGTCTATCGATATATGTTCTCGAGAACTTTACTTTTTTACTTCAGGTAAATTAATCCTTCTAGGAGTAATTAATCCTTCTGAGAGTTTCAAATATATTTAACATCTTTAGGGAATTCAAACAAATAGGCTATCACAACAATTTTCAAACATTGATTTGAAAAAGTAGTTTCATCCACCACAGGGGAGTATAACTCCTCTTAAACAATGATAGGTCTCTTCAAGAAACCCATTGCAAAACATTATGCGATATCTTTCATAATTTCATACTTTCCAATAGCACAAAAATTTGTTTGTATCCCGCTAGTTTTGCCCTTTTTTAGGTGCAAGGACTTCTGGTCCTTAAACTTTATGTTGATTGAGCAAGTTTCATGATTTCTTTCTATATTGGCCAATAACATCATCATTTGCATGTATCAATAGAGTTTTACTCTTGATCCTCACTTGTACATATCATATTCAGTACTGAAGTACAACAAACAAATTTCATCGACAATGATTTCATTACGGTTCTAGTATTGTAGTCTAATATGGTTTTGAGATCTCTTCGCTTTCATAACTTTCAGAGACATGTGTTCTTCTGGAACTAAAATTATATTTTATTCTTGGTTACTCTTCTTGAGTTTTCATGTCCTCAAGTTGACCATTCTAATTACAACTCCTTTTCTTTCTCGAGGATGTTTATCATTGGAACCGATTGGTCTATCACGCTTCATGCGCTCTTTCATACACATTTTTTTATATTAGAGTATCCAACAAGGATGTCAAATTCAGTTGGAGCATTCACAGCTAGTATATGTGACTTGGTCACTTCGTATGGCCAGTAAAGGCATTTGATAGTTGGTAACGATAATTCATCTTATGAACTTCAGGTTCATGTTTCTTACTTTGAGGGTCAAACTAGATAATGATAACTCATTCCAACTCATCTCTTTGTCTAGCTGTTTTTTTTTTCCCTCCTCCCTTAATGTTGGAAAAGTAATCCATCAAAACAATAATTTCGCAAACAAATTTCCCATTTGGGATTCAAACCTCAACACAAATTCTCAATCTCTAATGAGAATCAACTTAAAATACTGTGGCGGAGCAATTGGGATGTATGCGACACACCCTTATATTCTCATATGGGAAATGTTAGGTTTCTTACCAAAACCATTTGTAAAAAGAGGAAAACTTATGATAACTTGTTGGTTAGATGCGAACCAATACTATCACTTGTCAGCTAGCATGTCCTCGACAAGAGACTGGAAGGCTCAGCTTGTTTTGTTAAGCAAAGTGATGTTTGATTGGATAACCATCAAAATGTATCCATAGTGAGGCAACCAATCTCGCAAACATCGGGTTGCGATTATATAAAATACATGTGATCATCCATTTGATGCAGGAACCCATAAAATTCATAAATGATCCACATGACTGATTTATTGTTCTGCATACACATCCATAAAATCTCAAGAGATTTGCCAACCCTTTTACAAGCGATGATCAACTGTTCTATATTTCTTGAGAACAAGCATGACATAATAACTCTTGAAGAATTCTTTGAATTCTCGTATGATGTTCTCATGAATTCTCAAAGTACTTTTTTCACATCAAGATCCGGGATGGTCTAACCGGACCAACCAATTATCAAGTTATCAAATCTTGTAAACTTCTGGTTTACACTTTTATGTGTACGGATTGTACTAATATACATGTAGTACATATTTGTGATGCAAATATTAGTTTCACTACGTTCTTGATAAGATATTCATTTTACGAATATCCTTTTAATTGGGTAATGCATCATCACTAGGTAGTTTGGTTCCTTCAGGCCACAAAATTAGCTCCTTTAAAGCTTTACCATATTTTGTACCATATTCCACCCTTCAGGGGACTTATGATTTGATGCATTCTTAGTAATACATATTCATAGTGAATATCATCACAAATTATTATCACGAGTACATAATTTAGTTACTTCAAGTAACCAAACATAAGCTTTTCGGAAGCTTTTTCTCATTTATGTACTCTACCATATAGTTTATATGGAATTTTTCTAACAATCATACTTTACAAAAAGATACTAAAATAATAAATGAGAATATTTCAAACTTAAGATAAAAATGATGAATTTATCAAGTTAATTGTTCTAGATAAAGGTTATCCAATTAAATTATGCATGAAAAATAACGTCACAATAAAACATAAAAGAAATAAGAATCATAATACTACAATTGTGAAATTAAATAAGCTTTATTTGGAACAATACCATCACTAACTAGATGATTTTAAATTTATATATGCGTTCCATTATGCATTTCAATGTACAACAGGTACATTATGTTATCATGACTTTGATAATGCAATTGTTATTTAATCCTTATTTATAATTCTTCTCTTTTCTCACTTCTGGTGAAAAGATCCAAACAATACATTTAGCATATATATAATCATGTTTATAGCTCCATTCACTTCGGGGAATAGATTGTTTCATTCACTTCTGGGAATGAAAATGTCTCAAGTGCAATATCACTTTCATCTTTAATGGAGAATATACCAACTTATAATACACAAAATATGTTCCATAATATTGATATTGCAGGAGCGTATATGAATTTGCTCTTCCCTTTGATTCTTGGTAGAATAAAGTCTTTTGCGTACAACGGGTACGAGACAAGCACACTTTTCCATTACAATGGTAACATACAGAACAAATATTCTTGTTACCCTGTCCACTTCTTTCTATCCCCTTGGATTCTTCAATTTTCCACTTCTG